TTTTTTTTTTTTTTAAGCCAGTCCTGGGGCTTGAACCCAGAGCTCAAACTTTTTTTGCTTAAGGGTAGTGCTCTACTGCTTGAGTCACAGTGCCACTTCCAGCTTTTTCTGAATAGTTGGTTGGAGATAAGAGTCTCATGGCCTTTCCTGCCTGGGCTGGCTTCAAACCGTGATTCTCAGGTCTCAGCTTCCTGAGTAACTAGGATTAGAGGAGTGAGCCATTAGCACCCAGCAAAAAAAAAAAAAAAAGAATCTTTCTTATCTAATATAGAAAGTCCAGAAGTAGGGACACTTTAAACTTAGTTAATTAAAGAGAAAGATCAGTAAAACTTTGCTATTTTAGCCTGGTGTCACTGGCTTATCTCTGTAATCCTAACTATTCAGGAAGCTAATACCTGCGGACTCTCAGTTTAAAGCCAGCCTGGGCAGCAAAATCTGAGAGACTCTCTAGTTAATTAGCAAAATGTCAGTCAAAAAATGTGGCCCAAGTGGTAGAGTGCCAGTCACAATTTAAAAAAAAGCTGAGTCAAGTGAGATCATGAGACCCTGAGTTCAGACCTTGGTACCAGTACCAAACAACAACAACAAAGGCAAAACTGAGATTTCTTTCATTTTTTTCGTGTCATCCCAACTTTATGGCTTCAGGATGACTGAAGATAATTCGGACTTTATGCTTCCTGTTACAATCTCTAGAGATCATCAAGAGGAGGAAAGAGTACATCTTTAACAAAAAATGTAAACCTTTCTTGGAAATATCCATTAGACTTTACTTCTTCCTCTCACATCATGCTCACTAGAATTGACTGGTTTCCTGCTGTATCTAGTGAGGGAAATTACTTGTATTAGTTCTCAGTGAGGTTGGGGTGGAGGTGAGTCCAGGACTGGGAAATGTATGTTTGGAGCAAGGGTCCCCCTGGCCTGCCAGGATCTTTAGTGTTCAACAGTGTGCAAGACAGAAGATGTAGTAGGCCTTTCTAAATGTTCGGAAAATTAACTTTGCTTATGATTGTTTTAGTTAAATACTATAGAATAAAAAAGGAAGTTAACCTCTGCCAAAAAATTTAAGTTGGATAAGAATCTGTATGTTTTCTGAAACTATTCTTTCCTGCTGAAATTAAAGACAAAACCTTTTCAGTATGTTTGAGCCAATTTAAGTTTTGGTTAATATGAAACAAGCTTGGATGTACATCATGCATCTGTCATCTGTTCCTCTTCAGGGATGTGGTAAAAACTCAGAAGGCCAGCATTCATTGAAGCACTTCCGGAGTTGCAGAACAGATTCGCATTGTATTACAGTTAGTCTGAGTACATGGATTATATGGTAAGTTAAATTTGTTAGTACTTGTGTCCACTCAAACAAACAAACTAAAGTCTTTCTCTTTTTCTTTGAACTTTATAAGATAAACTAAAGATATTTTATCAGTTTATGTTTTTTTTCTTTTGTTCTGTGACTTAGAGCCTGGGCACTGTCCCTGAGCTTTTGTGCTCAAGGCTAGCATTCTATCACTTGAACCACAGCTCCATTTGTGGCTTTTTTTTCTGGTTAATTGGAGATAAGAGTTTCACCGACTTTTCTGCCTGGGTTGGCTTTGAACTGTGATTCTCACATCTTGGCTTCCTGAGCAGCTAGGATTACAGTGAGAGCCACTGGTGCCTAGCATGTCTCTTTTATTCATTTATCTTTTGTGCTAGTACTAGGGCTTGAACTCAGAGCCTCACACTCTTGCTTAGCTTTTTCACTCAAGGCTGACACTCTGCTACTGAAGCCATACCTCCACTTGCAACTTTTTTGTGGTTAATTGGAGATATCAGTCTCTCCAATTTGTCTGCCTATCCTTGTGGTGAACCTCAATCCTCATATCTCAGCCTCCTGATTAGTGAGGATTACAGGAGTAAGCCACTGGCACCAAGATATTTTATCTATACTTAATATAATTTATTTTGCTTTTATATTTACATAGAGTTAGAAAGATGATTAATTTACTACTTTTTATACGTATGTTAGATTTATAGTAAAATGAAAATAATTAAAATCATTTTTGTGGGCTTGTAGAATTATTTTCCTATAACAAGAAGCTATATAAGCTTGTCAAATGTTTTTTATAGGAATTTAACTGCTGTGCAATTTTTTTTTCTTCCTGATTGTGAAACAACAACAACAATATAAGAAACAATTTCAGTACAAAACTTCATTAATTTAGGTTCAATGGAAAGCCAGGTTAAAGTAGAGAGACCTGAACTGTATAAAAAGGAAGGTAAATCACAGATTTGGTTATTTAATTGGGGCAATAAAGAGGTACTTACAGTGGTTGCAAGACTGCTTTGAGCATTGGTTCTTATGTCTGACTTCATGTCAGAGTCACACAGGAGTATTTAATACATCCATAGCTGCTACCAGTCCTCTCTTAAACCATACCTATTCAATCAGGGCTACTGTATTTCTTCCTATTGGTCATGCTGAAACCTAAACAGAGTTCAATCATGCTTTAAACTTAAAGTTAACCTGTTGATGAATTTTTCTAAGTACTCAAAGTTGTCTGTTGAAGATTCATTTTCCCTATACTTCTACTAAAGTACTGATTTATGAGCCCTCCTGTAGAAAGAACATATACTCTATGAAGATCCACTTAAAATAATTAGATCGTGTAAGCACTTTGTATAGTGCCTGTTGTATACCAAAAACTCAATTTAAATTTTTTTGTTGTTTTGAGTAGGCATCCATCACATTGTTATTTTGAACTGTCTTTTTTTAACTCTAAATTCTCTGCAATGATCCTGATTTTTATTTACTTGTTCTTTTTGTTATATAAAAGTTAAAACAGTGGATTATGTAGCAAATCAACTATATTAGCAAACATTTCTTGACATCTCAGTATTTTGTAAATCAACAATTATTTTATATTCTTACTATTTTTGTCACAAGTCAAGTAAGTTAAATATTGCACATCTAATATGGTGAAAGCCTGACAATTGTACCTAAATTGTTTGAATTCCAACTTGGTCTGTTGAGAAAAAATGTTTTTGGTACTATTTTCTGTATCACATCTCCGAAGCAGAGGGAGATTGTATTGAGCAGGTTAAGTATTTAAATGCATTTTGAAAATGAATCCAAGTCTACTTTATAGCCATTAATAATCTCAGGATCACTAGTAGTTACAGTGAGGAAGACTGACCACATGAGGCAGCTTGTCTGCTCAAGGCGAGCACTCCTGGTTTTCTGGTAGTTAATTGGAGAGAAGAGTCTCACAGATTTTCCTGCCTGCCTGGTTTTGAACTGTGATCCTCAGCCTCCTGAGTAGCTACAATTATAGGCATGAGCCACCAATGCCTGGCCAAATAAATATTCTTATATGACCATTAGATCCCATGATGATAAAGAAAGTAGGGGTAATATAGAAAAGATACATCTTAATACTAAAACCACAAATAAAACTTAATTACAAGTAGTATTCTAAAAAGAAGTGTACTTATAAAAATACTTTACCTAACTGTCTACAGATCAGCTCCAAACGATAAAAAGCTTTGTCTTTGTCTATTGCTGAATAATCAAGCTACAAGCCTACAGATATTTTGGCCTTTCTTTCTTTCTTACCTCTTTCTTTCTTTCTTTCTTTCTTTCTTTCTTTCTTTCTTTCTTTCTTTCTTTCTTTCCTTCCTTCCTTCTTTTCTTTCTTTCTTCTTTCTTCCTTTCATCTCATTTTAATTGCTAGCTTTCTAACAGAAGTAGACAAAATAGTTTAATGTGGGGCTGGAAAGTGGCTCAGTGGTAGAGTGTTTGTTTTATATGCACGAGGCCCGGGTTCAATTCCTTAGCACCATATAAACAGAAAAGGCCGGAAGTGGTGCTGTAGCTCAAGTGGTAGAACACTAGCCTTGAGCTGAAGAGCTGAGGGACAGTGCCCAAGCCCAGAGTTCAAGCCCCACGACTGACAATAACAATAATAATAATAATAATAACAATAACAATAATGTGTTCCTGTATCCCTATTACCAGTTAATTTAAACATTATCAACTAACAGCGAGTCTTGTTTTATATTCACCAAGGTTTCTTCATCTTAGCACCATTGACTTTATAGGACAGTTAGCAGCTTCTCTGGCCTCTACTGCCAGAAACAGCCAGGAAGTAAACAAAACATGTCTGAGTATTGGGTTACTGTCCCCTGGGAAACAGTTAGTCCATACTTCAAATCACTAATATGTGCTACCCTACTACTCTCTTCTCGTGGCAGTTATTTTGACTCTTTGGTATCCCTCATCTTTCATATTGAATGTAAAGCTGTTTCTGCCTGGACATAGATAATTCAGTATGTCTCCTTTGCTCCAGATTCATGCTGCTGTACTGCTCTGCTTCTATTCCTGATGTCCTCCAGTCTAGTTTATCACATAGTCAGAGTGATGTTTTTAAAATATAAATTGGGCCATACTCCTGCCCTGCTTAAAAACCCCTCATGGCATTCCATTTCATTCGGGGTAAACTGCAGAACCTTTCATTTAAAGTAGAAGGCTTTGTATGAACTCTTCTAGCTTATTTCTCTGGGTTTAGCTAATGCCTTCCACATTGTGTTCTCTGCCAATTTTCTTATAAGACAAAAGAGTACATTTCAGAATGTGCCAAAAGAAGAGAGGCAAAAAGTGTTTGTATATCAACTTTGTTACCTGATATGCAAACTTACTGGAAGTATAGTCATAATATTTGCTTAAAGTTTATATTTATATTTTTTCAGGTGTTACGAATGTGATGAAAAATTATCAACACATTGTAATAAGAAGGTTTTGGCTCAGATTGTTGATTTTCTCCAGAAACATTTTTCTAAAACACAAACAAGTAAGTGAAGCAGTTAAAAGAATTCATATTAAAATATGATATTTCATACTTCGTATAAAACAAATTTGTGGAGTGCCCTAGATTTCACTGTGATATTGCAGTCTATAATTTGAACAAGGATGTAATATCACAAAGCCTTAGCTAGCAGTCTCATATATTGCTTTGTGAGATGTTTACCTAACAATAGGAGAAGTAGAAGTATTGAGTGACTGTGTCATGGGCTTTTAAACCAGACAGTCCTGAATTTGTACTTAGGTTTTCTTACTTATTGGCTGTGGGACATTTTGATTATTATGTGATCATATTGTGAGGCTTAGAAATAATATTTTGAAAATATTTAGAAATAATGTGTGTAAAAACACTTGCATTCAGCTCGTGACACATTTCGGTTGCTAGTATCTGTTGCTGTTTGTTACATAATCATAGTTCAGATTCTAACTCCTAGATGTAGCCAGACTGCCCTGCTAAAGGCTCAAGTTGCCCACAAGACTGCTCTCACATCAGGCACCAGCCAAAAGCTCAAGCATGTCTAGGCCCCTGGCTACAAATTTGGGCCATTCCTACCCTCTTCACATTTGCTAATTTGCTAGAATAATTTAGGAATTCAGGTAAGGGATATACTTCACAATTATAATTTTCTGGTAACACAGAAGAATATACTTCACAATACATCAAGAGAGATACGGGGCAAGATCTGCCAGGTACAAGACTTCTGGGTCCATTCCACAGGGAGTGAGGCTACCACCTCTCATCCTTACACCCATACCCGTCCTCATATCCATACCCACAGGGGTGTGTAGCAGTCTGTGTAGGGAAGCTCTTAGTGTTCCAAACTTTTACTGAGGTTTCATTAGTGGGCTTGATGGATTGAATCATTGGCTACTTTGATTTCTGTTACCTTGACCATCTAGTCACATGGTTTGTCTTTCCAGCATGGGCAGCCCCCCTTGAGTTGTATCTCTATCTCCCCCCTCCCCGCTGTGTATTTCAACTCAGGTCTTCATGTGTACTAATGGACTAGTTAATGACTCTCTGCCACGTGAGCAACAACCCTACCCCTGTTTTGCTTTAGTTATTTTTTGGATAAGGTCTTGCAGGGCTTAAGGGCTGGCATCTAACTGACAACTACTGATCTTAAATCCCAAACCTCCCAAGTAGCTGAGATTGTAGGTATGAGCTACCATGTCTGATCTGAGTCAGCTCCTTAGTAGAATCTGTCTAGTGATCTTCCATATTACCATTATGAATGACACTATGAATGACAAACCCACTATGAAAAGACCCATACGAATAATTTGGCAAACCTTTGTGATGCTCTGGAAACTGCAAAATTTTAGAGACTACTTATCAGGAAACTGGATCAAAAGCCAGCCCAAACCTTTATCACATGACAATAATGCATTATATATTCCATGTTGAGGGATTAGAGGTATGGCTCAGTTGGTAGAGTGCCAGCCAGTGAGCAAAAGCATCAAGTATCAAGTTTGAGTCCTGGTCTTGGACTTAAAAAAAAGAATATTGTATATTGATATGTATAGACTGTTACCTAACATGAGAAATATATGGTATATATTAATATAAATTAAAAGTATATAGGGTGGGGCTGGGAAGGTGGCTCAGTGGTAGAGTGCTTGCCTTGCATCCATGAGGCCCTGGGTTCAATTCCTCAGCACCACATAAGCAGGAAGTGGTGTTGTGGCTCAAGTAGTAGAGTGCTAGCCTTGAACTGAGCTGAGAGACAGTGCCTCAGGCCCAGAGTTCAGGCCTCCTGACCGACAAAAAAAAAAAAAGTATATAGGGTACCAGTTTCTTCATCCAAATATAGAAAGTGCTAGGCATTATACTCAGTCTGTAGTAGAGAAATAAAAATAGATTTTTCTTGCTGTCTTGGGGTTTATAGTCAGAAAAAATTATAAGAAAATACTTAAGGTCTGGTGTGTGCAAAAGAAAGACAGCAAAGGCAGTGTGGCTGAAGTGTGGTTTATTAGAAGAGAGAAGAATGAGTCTGGTGGGCCATAAGGAATTCCATGGTAAATAATGTGTATTTGATTGGAATTGTAAGGGAAGTTATTAAATTTGTTGTAAGCAAGGGAAAATCATAGTCACTTCAGTTTTGGGGAAAAAAAGATGACATAGGAGGGCAGGATTAAGAGTAGGAGTCATTAAGAAGGTTAAAGTAATACTGGGTGTATAACTCAAGTGGTAAAGTACTTCCCTAGCAGTGGTGAGGTCCTGAGCTCAACCCCCACTAGGGGAAGGGATGGGCACTTCTAGGAGGCTATTGTGGTGGGGCAGGTGAGAGTCTAGTACAATCTTGGTGGAAAGAAGGTAAAGGAGAGTGAGAAGAATTAAGTACAAATTTCAGGACATTGAATATCTAAGCAAGGGACACTAAACGTACATAGTAAGTTCGAGGTGCTTTTGAAGCAGAATTAAAGTATTTAGACAGTGGTGGGCCATCTGAAATCTCAAAATCATTTGGTACTCAGTGGGACAAACACATATGCTTCTTGTAAGCTGCCCACAGCTGTCTGCCTTTATAATTGCATGTGTGTGCTTGTGCGCATGTGCATACACATGCATCACCCTAAGGCTTGAACTCAGCACCTGGGTGTCGTCCCTGAGGTTTTGTGTTCAAGGCTAGGTTTTGTGTTCATACATGCTAAGCAAGCACTTACCACTAAGCTCCATTCTCAACCCCACTCTACTACATTTGAACTACAGCTCCAGTTCTGGCTTTTTGGTAGTTAATTGAGATAAGAGTCTCAGATTTTTCTGCCCTGGCTGGCTTTGAACTGAGGTGCTCAGATCTCAGTGTCCTTAATAGCTAGAATCATAGGCATGAGTCTCTAGCACCTGGCTTACACTGATAATTTAAAATGATATTCTAAATAAGTGGCCCTTGGCAGAGAAAAGGTTCCCTACCCCAGATAGAAAGTGGCAACAAGCTAGGCACTTGTGGCTTCATACCTGTAATCCAGCTAATCATCTCACTGATATCTAAAGATTATAATTTGAAGTCAGCCCAGGCAGACATATCTAAGAGACTCTATCTCTCTAGTTAACTAGCAAAAAGCTGGAAGTGGAGGTGTAGCTCAAGAGGTAGAGCACTAGCCTTGAGTGAAAAAGTCAAGCGAAAGTGCCAGGCCCTGAGTTCAAGCCACATTACCAGTACACACACAAAAAAACAAACAATTAGACAACAGAAACTAAAAAGTTATCTAAGAGTACAAGTACCAAGACAAAAGAAAAACATAGCTGCCAATTATTTTCTATCATAGGTGTCTTTCTTAGCTGTGTATCACTAATGAAAGAGTAATGGAGAGGTTGGAGAAGGAGGCAGTAAGCCCAGCCTCCGGGACAGCAAGAGAGTCACTACTTTTTATTACTTATTCATTTACTTATTCAACGGCCATTTGTTGAATTCTTTGTGGCAGGGATGCTAGCCATGGTTCCACTTCTGCTCTCATAAAGAAGCAGGAAAGCCAGATGCTGGTGACTCACGTCTGTAATCCTAGGCTGGCATCTGAGGAGTTGGAAGCAGTCTGAGGAGTAAAGTCCATGAAGCTCTTATTTCCAATAAACTACTCAGAAAAAGCCGGAAGTGGCACCATGGTAGAGCACTAATCTTGAGCAAAAGAAAGAGGCAGAGCCCAGGCCCAGAGTTCAAGTCTCAGACCAGCAAAAAACAAAACAAAAAAGCAGGAAAATGTGGTGATGAAAGATATTTAATATGTCAGCAAATGAAGTTGGCCTTACTTGCTGTCTCCTGAGAAGGGCATGCACATTGCATTTGTTTTGTTTGCCATAATATTAGACATATAATATAAATATTGATGAAACTACAATTATAGAAATTGTTTTCTCTGGCTGTGTGTGTGTGTGTGTGTGTGTGTGTGTTGGTACTGGGGCTTGAACTCAGGGCCTGTGTACAATGCCTTAGCTTCCCCCTCCTCTTTTTTTTTTTTTTAATAGTGAATATACTACAGAGGCGTTACAATTACATGGACAAGATAATGAGTACATTTCTTATCAAGCATTGTTGCCTCCTCCTTTGTTTCCCCTTTCCATCCCTTCCCCATCCCCTACCCCCACCCTGCCTTAGCTTTTTGCTCAAAGCTGACACTCTACCACTTGAACTACAGCTCCATTTCTGGCTTTATAAGTAGGTAATTGGAGATAAGAGTCTCATGGACTTTCCTGCCCAGGCTGGCTTTGGACTTGGATCCTCAGATCTCAGTTTCCTAAGTATCTATGATTACAGCCACTGACACTTGGCTTTTTCTGCATTTTTTTAAAACCTGAGTTCAAGGACAAAGCTAGTCTGATTTTGATTCGATTTTACAAATTTCTGGAATATTTATGACAGTAAGCAAGGGAGTCCTTTAAAAAAAATCAGTGTGATAAACCTGATAGAAACAACTCAAAAAGAGAGATTTATTTCGGCTCACAGTTTCTGAGGTTTCAGTCGGCAGGATATCCTTCTGGTGAGGCAGGACACATCACGGCAGCAAACATGTGCTAGAGCAAGGTTGTACACCTTCTGATGGCCAAGAAGTAGAGAAAGCAAGTCACCAAGGGGCTAAGGCAAGGGTACAACCTCAAAGTCACACTCTTAGTGATCTACTTTCTTTAGCTAGGCCACACCTAGTGTCTTCCCAAATAATGCCACCAGCTGGAGACCAAGTTTTCAACCCCCTGAGACCAAGTTTTCAACCTCAAGAGAGCTGAAAGATGTGATATAAAAAAGTAATAAGGGGCTGGGAAGTTGGCTCAGTGGTAGAGCACTTGCCTTGCATGCCTGAGGCCCTGGGTTCGATTCCTCCGCACCACATAAGAAAAAAGCCGGGGGCTGGGAAGGTGGCTCAGTGGTAGAGCACTTGCCTTGCATGCTCGAGGCCCTGGGTTCAATTCCTCAGCACCACATAAGAAAAAAGCCGGAAATGGTGCTGTGGCTCAAGTGGTAGAGTGCTAGCCTTGAGCTGAAGGGCTGAGGGACA